AAAAAAGGTAAAACAAAATAGAAAGTTAGTAAGGCGGAGCTTTTCTAGGTATGGTTTTTAGTTCATAACTGCTTGTGTTTGGCAAGCAATCTGATGGCCTTCAGTTACTTGACATTTCTCTTTCAAGTGACAGGGGAACAGCGCTGTGCTTCCAGATCCCAAGTGTGTCAGTCAGCCATAGTCAAACAGTGCTGGCTATGGTGACACAGGCAAAACCATTTCAGGTTGGATCTTGATCTCCCAAAAGGTATCAACTGTGGTTAAAATTGTCTTTTATCCATTCCCTTGCTATGGTTTTAACAATCTTGCATTTGACACTCTTGTCATTTGCAAAAAACACATTCTGAATTCAGACCACAGCCTGTTTATAGGGTTTGGGTTTAAGGTACCTTCGACTTAAGGGTGTACCATGTCTAGACCATTAATGGCAAGAGTGGCTGATGTGGCAGAATTGCATGGTTAATACTTGTGAAAGCACTCCCAAGCTTGATCTCTGACTCTTTTATGGGAATTATGTGTTTGCCTTAGGAAGAGGAACCAACCAGACTTTTTAGGATGCACATACTATGGCATTTTAGAGAAGGGGAGAAAATTAATTTGAACTGGAAAAAGAGCAAGCCTTCTCACTTGACTACATCCCAAAATGTTAATCCATTCACAACCAAAAAGTAAAGTGAACATGCAAAACTGTGGTAACAAAATACTTTACTAAAATATCATACATTGAACAGTTATCTCAACATTCTGATGTTTTATGCAAATAATGCAAACACTGTCACACATTTTATATTAACATTATACATACAGTAACCCGCACAAATCCAAGAAGAGCAGTGTTCCTGTCAGATCCATGACAGACGATTAGCCCTTGTGTTCCGTTCAGCTTTTATATAAGGCAAGCATTTCATTACAAAAATCTACTCTGTATTCTCGAAAGTGCCTGGAAGGGTTGTACCTCCTCAGTAATACTTAATCAGGTGAGACATATGAGCAAATCCTTCATGGACATTTTTTAAAAACCTAACCTATACTAAGAATATATTAGCTGATGAGTTAGAATTGTGAAAAATCTATTCATTTTTCTGTATTCAAAAACTGTTCCTGTGTTAGAAGAAATAGAGTATGTTGGAATGCACAGCCGTAAGAACTCTAAGACACTATCTGCTGATTTTTACACTCCCTACTACCAAGAAGCCCTGGAGTAACTTTTCAGAGTCATTTTCCAAAGGTATTCATAAAAAACTGATTTAATGATCATCTGATCCAGAAAGCATAACAATTTTAGGATAGTGCACTACTTTCACAGACAAACTGCACCAAAATTACCTAAATTATTTATTACCCTACACAAAATTTTAAAAATAAGTATATGTACACTGCATTATTGTGTTTACAGTTCTAGTTATATTTCCAATCTTTTTGTGATGGTCTTCCGTAGGAAAATACATATAATTTGGCAAAAGGCCATTAATACTGTTTTGATTGTGTTAAAAGTCATGATCTGAGGCCTGAACTGCAAAAGTTAATTTCATTTAGGCAATATACACAAACTGACTAGCAGAGTGGCTTTGTTTAAATAGATGGATTTGCCTTACATCCAACCAGCTACATTTCTTAAAACACTTTTTCCAACAGGATAGCCTTATATTTTAAGTAATTAATTATTCATTTATTATATTCTTATTCAAAGCAGCCTACTGAATAGGGAGAAGTATGAAATCAATTTCTAATTTATGTGAGCACAAAGAAAACTGTATTTTGAGGAAAATAATGTGCAGCAACCTAAAGCATTCACTTGGAAAGCTAATTTGCAAAGAGGAGAGGGACTGGCTGTCTGAATCCATAACAATTCAACATGTACTCATTTGCTCCTTATCAGACCTTTATCAGTGATAAGCCAAACGCTTCAGATAAATAGGCAGGCCATCAGATGCTTAACAACATATGTTCAGTGGGGACAAAATATTTTGAATGCAATAATAAAGACATAGGCATCTTGCACGAATCACTTGTAATTACCAATAGACTCCCAGAAAACAGTATCCAGAATGAGATGGCTTCATAAAATGTGCCTGAGGACCTTATTCCCAATCGTACAGTAGCTATGAATTTAGCTCCCAAAATATAGGGACAGTGTCTGTAAATGGGATTAACAGAGAACAGCACCATCTTCCAAGTTAGTAGCTATATTCAAGTAATTAGGGTGGGTGAACTGAACTCCTAAACTGAAACAAAAGCCACAGTCGAGAAGTCCAGCAGAATCTGGCCTTCAAGGGTATCTTTTTTATTGATGGTACAAAGCCACAAACTGCTCAGGTAGGACACATTTTAATGCCACTTACAAGCAGCCATCGTTCAGGGAACCAACCTAAAATATTATCTCTTAACAGGACATTTTAGCCTTTGGCCACGAACTCAGCCTGACAGAAGACCATCAGCCACATCATCCCAGAAGCCTGGTGCCACCATAGTTCTTCTATCTCAATGCTTAGTGGAGGTAAACAAGTCAACACATCCATATGTAAATGAATAGCTGTTCTGCTGAGATACAGGCTCCCTGGGACTGCACAGCTGGACTGGTCCTGACAGCTGGAATAGCATTGGCACCAGGCACGGAGGTTAAGTGAGACCCACGAGGGACTGCGGGATTATTTCTCTGAGAAGAAGAAGAGGCCAGGATGAACGTTAGGCTGCACTATGCTATCCCAGCTCACAGACCCTAGGAGAGGTGAGCAAGCATTCCTTTATGCTCAACATTTTTCCATAAATTAAAGCAATAGCCAGCTTGCACCTTGGGTACAATAGCAGTGAATGGCAAAAAGACATTTCTGCAGGTTACATGGAAAGAATAGTGACTAAAGTGCTGTTGCTAGGCTTTATCAGTCTGACCCATTGCACCTACTGCAGGCAGCAGCAAAAGTAGATGTGCTACAGCAGGGCTTTGAGCCCAAGGGCAGATACACCTGCAAAGTTGGGATGGGAGGCAGAGAGATGCTGTTCAACCTGGAGCTGGGCTGCCCACCCCCGGCACATGATACGCACTAGGGAAAGGCATGCATCTCCTTCATCACCCACTCGACCACCTGGATAGCCACATCCCTGCAAACACCATATACACAGCTAGTTTCTGAATGGGAAACTTAAAATAAGGAAGATTATTATTCTACCAAACAAACATTATCAGCCATCAAAAATAAGTGCATGAGCTCAGGTTACTCTACATCAGAAGAAAATAAATAGTATATTATTACCATTATTAAAGACATTTCAGGATGG